TTGTGGGGTTAGCAAACATCACAGATGGGTTTGACCATGATGTTGTATTCGAAAATGATTGGGTATTAGAATTTTCATTCTGATTCCTGAAAATATACCAAGAGACGTTGTTTACAAAGGCCATAGATATGCTCGACATGTTCATATTTTGTGCCTGATCTGACTGAATCGAATAGGTTTAGGTATTTGATATATACCTGGCAGAAAGCGTTCAACATGCATTTGTTGACTAGGACTTCTGATGTTGGCATAGATTCTATTGATTGCGTATATGCGCTTTATGCTTCCGAAAAATCGGTGCCTTATCAATGGGCAATAAGCTGATGGACAAATGTGCACGAGACGATGTTCCATTGTTGTTAGATACAACAGCGCCATTGGGAAACAGATGACTGCTTTATATAAGCTTCAGTTACTCGGACGAGTGAAAGTGACTCAGAAAATTTCGACTCTGACAGAATGAGACCAGTCCCTAGAGTAAGAGGCTATCAATGAAACTATAAAACCCCAGCTGACAGTTAGATACTGAAGCTGCCAACAGAAGCTACACAGGCGCTAGCAAATTTATCTTTGTCTTTATTTCTGCAAGACTAGCTAGTCGAATAATGTCCTCGGTCAGCTAAGTAAACAAGAGAATCTCGTTTAGAATCTAGAGAAACTTTAGGCTATAGGGGCTGGGTAGTACATTGTACCGAAAAAACTAATGGCACATGCTATTTGGAAGACTGCTTCCATGGAACTTAGACGTTAAACGAGAAGCACTTCATTTACTAATTATCCGTTCGTGTGAATTACTTTGCGTTTAAAATAAGATCGAATGGGCCTAAGTCTATCGGCGTAATTAGTTTCAGTCCTAAAACAGGTTGACAAAATTGATCCGACTGTTCATCGATCCGAACGACGATTCTATACAAAGTTGCAGCACATGGATCTAAACCTTCGGATAGGGTCCATCACTGACGCTCCGTTTTCTCTTCGCTACCCGGGCCTACAGCGTGAGTCCATCACTAAATATCTAGATCACATAGAAATTGTCTCAAGTCCGCGATGCAGGAAAATACAAAGTGTGCTACAAAATTTTTGCTGAACTCGTACTCGTACGAGCTTCCGTCGTACGCGAAAGATCTCCGGAATAATTCTTCCAGCTATTCGCTCTAATATAGGAAACTTCCAAAACCATTGCAGCTCATCGCATTATGTTAATTCAGTGTTTTCCGCTCACTTTTGCCATTTTCTACAGAGCAGGGCGTCTATTTCATCGTCTCGACTTTTCTACCGCAAAAACATATGCACGCCAATGATTGGTGTCAGCTTAAACAGGGAACATGCGTCTAAAAATATGCCCAACGATAGTGCGATGATCAGTCGATGTATTCTTATCAATTGAGTTAATCGGTTTGATTCCGTTCTACCCTGTTCGTCATCCCACGCGTTCACCCCGCCATAACAAACTACCAAGAGACCTATCTCAACACGTTCTGCCAAGTACCTTTTATCTAATCTCTGATGCATAGATTAATTTCGCCCAGGAGCCTTTGCCATAGTACAAATAGTCGCGGCTCTCTAGTGACCTCCAAGATTTTAACACGCCACTGAACGAGTGTAGCTGCTGAATGTAAACGCGATACGAGAGTATCTTGATGTTATTGTGTTGTCACTTTTTCATTCTATTATTCACTGTGATAGAAAATGGCATCAGTATAATACGATACTTCGGAGAGAAATTACTTTCGAGTGTTTCGCTTGTCAGGAGAACCGCCTGGGTTCGGCTTGATAGGAAATAAACTTCTAGCTTGTTGGAGTGTTAGAGCAACGTTCGTTGACAACACACTGATCTGGGACTTTCGATCATATTAGTATTTACTGCCATTCATAGACACCCTGCTTCAGCCATTCAAGAGCTTGATGGGACGGAATGAAAAATAGATATGGGTCAAATCAAGTCCAAGTTATTTTTATTGCAACAAGAAAAGTATTTATAAATAACCGTTCAGGGGTTCGGGGTGAAGGGTACGAGAGTGGATGACAAATATCGGCTAGTGATCTCGGCTAGTGGAAACCGGTTGCCAAGGTCGACCTCAATACTCGGCTTACGTGAAACAGGCAGGTGTTCCTTGAAGAAATAAACAAAATCAAAAGAGGCCGAACAAATTAACAGCAATCATTATCAGACAGTCTAATAACGAAGTTCTCATTTTGCGTTTCTATCCTATTCTAAATACCTGGGCCTTCGTGTTTTCTTTCTGCTTTGTGTCTTTTTTTTCGTAAACTTTATTTAGCTCTTATCTCGCTTTCGCGTCCTATGCGTAATTGAACGCCATGTTCTCGCGTCCAGATGTCGCCAACCGTACGGCTACTGTCTGTTTGTTTCGCATTCGCAAAGCGCAGCCAATATGCTCACCCCCGGGGGTGAACAGTTAAACATAATTAATCAACACTTCGATGTGACGTGGATCTAGAACTAATACGGTTAACAAGCTTCTACTGATTGAAACGAAATAAGCCTGCAGGTCTTCGAGTTTTATTATTCAATAACAGGCACAATTTGTTAAATTAATTCTTTAATCAATTGCAATAGCATTGACACGCGTTACTGGTAGGACTTGGATCAGCGACATTGGCCTTTTCAGCCAAAGATTTAGCCGTCGTTCAACACTAACCCATATTCTATAACAGAATTCTCATACTATATATATAATATAATGATTGTACAATACAATGAATGCTCGTATATAGTTTGTCGAAGTGTCTTTAAATGGCGGCGTATTATTTAGGCAGGGCACATGATACTTCGAATTGATCGAGACCAATCGAACTTAAATCCATAAAAAGACCACATATTTTGGGCAAGCATATTGGCACAAAGGAACAATCGCACAAACCGCAAGTAAAGCCTTTCCTGAACGCTTTCCAAATTTATGGAATTTTAGTTCTTTGTACAAAATTCGTATTATAGATATAGAGCTGCAAGCTGATACAATGTTCTGTCAGCATCAATTGTTTTGCAACTACACGCCACTATGACCAATATCATTTTTACCTTCGCCAATGCCCAATGAGATCGATACGTTTGCCACACGCAAAATTCTATACATTTAGTGTAAATAAAGGTATGAATTTGCGTTATTAATTAGGCTGTTAAAGGAGGGGCATGTTTCTTCTTAGAACTGAACCAGTTCCAGGTGTTAGCAGTGTTTATAGCATTTTCCCAGCCTGATCCAACGTTCCACTTCTCGTTACAACTCCTATAGGCTTCAACAAAAGGCTGACAGGGGGCCGCCGCTCTTCAACGATTTTCCTAGTTTCACGCGGTGCCTGCCCTCGAAAGTTTTGCGGCCTCTGTCGACTGGTTTCGTTGACGCGTCGCGATATCACTTCGTTCGTTCGCTCGCTCGCGAATAAACAATTCGCCGCCATATAGTTTGGATGTCCGTTGGTTTCGACCCTGGTGACTCGGCTCTCCACTCCCATGCTGTATGCCCACTCCCATTGCCACCAAGAGTATGCTCCGTAGGCCTGTCAGGCCGGGGTGGCGTTGAATCGAAATTATCTGGTCAGTTGACTGTCAAATGAAAATCAATAGGGTGTAACGGTCTGTTTTGTGTATACTTGTTGGACGCAGATAGAATCATATTCCACGTTGAAAATGAGGACACCTAGTATTTTTAGTCGTACGCTACGGTGAAGGGGGCAAAATTGTGCACTTCATTAGAGGGTACTACGATTTTCCTCTGGCTTTTGAAAGCCAGAACCATCACACAGCGAAACTGAGATCAGTATTCTTTAAGAATGGACATATTAGATCGGCGCCTCCTGTTATTATTTACAGCTATGTATTACTGACTCTAGTAGCAATTGGCGTTTATGAAAAACTTCGGGCGAGGAACTTGGTGTTGTGTGTGTCGTCCTAGTTTAACGAGAGAATAGCTTTTTGCATTAAAAGAAAAAGCTGGCGGGAGATCATTGATTATTTTGAAAATTTTCAGTGTACTGTTTCTTACGCTGACACTAGACGAATGTAGCACAAATAAATATACCGGCTGAGTATTAGCTGCTACCGACGGCAATGCATTTAAATAATGGGTCCAGAGACAAAATACCACAGGTCTTATAAACATCAATATTTAATCTATCAATTTATATTTCCTACGCATAACTTCGATACTAAAGTACTTTTTGCCTGCTGTCATGTCTCTTAACATGGTTGGATATTTTACTATGCAAGTAAGTTTTCGCGATTACCTCTTCGCTATTCTATCAATAGCACGTCGCCATTAGGAAGTCTAGCCAGGGTGGGTCTTGTAGGCCCTTATTTGGCGCACGCCCAACAGAACTATGAAATGTGCCCATAGTCGTAACCATTTGCTAACGCTGAAGTTTGAACCAGCGATGCCCGCGTATTCATAGTTACCATAACAACGGGCTCAGAAACACGCGTATTACTCATCCGGGCCATTACGAAAGTTCGAAACGTCAATGTATGTCGCTGATCATGCGCATATTTTGACACTCCTGTCCACGCATTGCTGCAACATTTGACAATTCACAGAGTAAAAACAGGGTCAATGCGCTCTTCACTAACGTAATAAACGAATGATTTTCAAAAAGTAAAGCCTGTATGGTACCCTTATTTACTGTATGGTTTTGGTCTAGGTATTGATTGGGCATAGATGCGACCTAGCTGGCCCGTTCACAGACGCGGCGACCAAGCGGTAACCTACCGACATGGATTGTCGATAGGCTTCAGTAGTACGCAAATGTTGCGCACTAAGTGTGGAGTCTAGTGACATGATGTGGCCAAGAGCATCATGGTAGCACCTCGCTGCCCTCCCTCACTACTGGTGGCAAGGGCAAAAGCCGACCGTGGGCTAACAGGGAAGCTTCGGTGGCAGCAACTGCGGCGGGTGGCGTGGCGTGGCGGGGCTGTCTGTCGGGGATGATTGAAGGCAGCGAGTGGTTGGGAGTCAGGATAGTGGCAATCCTCAGAAAACAGGGAGGTTCCGCGCTGGGTATCTTAGACAGGAGCAACGAAGGGATTCCTGCTTGTTGGGCCACGGGGTGAAACGCATTCGAGAGAGCCGCGTTGATGCCCTATAAGGCAACTGCTGCTGCTACAGGAAAGGAGTCCAGATGGATGGTCTGGCAGCGGCAGGAGCAGTCTAAACGGTCGCCAGTTTTAGTCAACAGTCTCCTCAGGGTAGCGGGGTGCCTCGCGCTGGACGAGCCACTCTACATGAGAACCGCATGCGAGGTCGACCATGTGGCTGCCGATTCTCGACAGATATCCGCCTATCCGATGTGTAGTCGCCATCCAATATCTGATAACGAACGGTGAGGTGGCCGTGGAGCAAGTTAGTCTACACGTTTTTGCGGTAGAGTGCTAGGCCGTTGAAGTCTAAAACAGTAGCGAAATTTGGATAATGAGAATTATAACAGTAACTTAAGGAATAACAACACCGGAAACACTAATAGCGAGAGTAACGGCTAAGTTAGAGCGGATGTCGCGAATTGTCTTTTTCAATCCTGCGCATTTTGTCTGCTGGAGAAGTACGTGATGCAAAAAAATTGAAGATGAATTCACATACCGTTCGTATGGTAGCCAACCAGTGCGTCAAAGTGCGGTAGGAAGTTTCCTAGCGAGAACAGGACATAGGTAGATCTCTGCTTCGAAGGACGGATCAGCGGGACCCGTTACTAATGGGCCACTAATGATAATACCCACTGCCATGCAAGCCGAGTTCAACGTATAAATAAAACGGCTCGCCCAGCCTAAACGGTGCTACTAACTACTGCTACGGACCGAGTTTATTTAACGTGTGATTTAACTTTATCGATCGACGTACGGAGCTCATTTGAGTCTAGTCTGCTGATTGGCCTCTCGTGAATGAGACCCGGCCGTGATTGCTACTTCACGGAAAGCTCGACCCACACGTCCGTTCAGCATACGAAATACCTCATAACGGCACCTAGATTTTTAGCGACGTGAGACTGAACTTGTAACTCATCGAAGAGTCTCAACTGATACAGTTTCCTCAGGATCTGCTAGCCGACTGCAGTCCTATATCATCATCTTTCACTAATATTCCGCTGCATTTAGTACTAGTCTTACTTTGTCATCTATCCTGGCCCCGTCCAACTCAAAGCGGATTATCGTTTTGGCTCAAAATTATCGTTGTGAAGGAGACAGACGCGCGCAATGTGGAAGTTATGCTACAACGTCCTCAGGCTTTTAGAAGCGTGATAACGAAAAAAACAAGGAAGAAAAACACCCGTGAAATTAGTGAATGGAAACAATCTATTTGTGTGTGTGGTTAGCGAACTTACCAAGCGCAACGAACGGCGCAGACAACGACCGGGCATTCGTTCAGAACGGATGGTCTTCAGAGCATTGATTAGTGTGTGTGCGCACATATAGACCTTCGTGAGCACTGCGATTCGACCAAGCTATATGGTTGCTATCCGTTAATGGTGCAGAGCGGTTCGGGTCGAGGCCAGACTACGCTGACAATTTCTGAGTGAAATCTTCTCCGTTCGTAAACTTTGGAACCGTTGAGGTAGAATCAATGGATATCGCCCGGATTCTGCTCATGGGTCGCAGGGCGAGTAAGCTCAAGAAGGACGATATTAAGGAGCTCGAAGCTCAGACATACTGTGAGTACTAATGTTACTATGCTATGTATATATATATATATATATATACTACTAATATTGCATTACTAATCAATTTTAAATAAAATTAAAATATTTATTAGACACTTTTAGCTAATGAAGGCTGCTGCTCTTATATCGTACATAACGAGCCATTAACAGTCAATGCTGCAATGACTGGCATCTACTTTGTTGAAAAGAAGCCAGTTCGGTAAGCGATTTGTCTTTTCCCTTATATGTTGCTTCCGTTGCATGTGATTATGTGCTCCCTGCAGACTATTGTTATGCGTCATCGGATGAGAGTATCGAACGGGTACTGACGAAACAGCTTGAGAAGCAAGGTAATCAGAGGCAAATGGACCATCTGGATCACATCTGAGAGGATCAGCTTTCCGCGTCCCATAAACTGTATTGCCTATTCGATACGTGTTTCAAAAATTATGTGATTGCCGGATGACACCCCTTGTGATGCGGCATAACCATTGTGATCGAATTTGTGATCGCAAGTGTTTCAACACTTTCTATAAATCATTTTCTATAAAAATGATTTTTCACATGCAACAGATTACCGAATTGCGTCAATGTGCCGGTGGGCGTCTTTAACCAAAAAAAGTTACAATTATTATTATTATTAACAACCTGATCGAGAACTTCTGCATATAGGATAAGTAACTTTGTCAAATCCAGAGCATGCGCATGTAAACAACGTTTCACCTCTTGGATTCCAGTCGGTCGACGTCCATCTTTTGATAACGCATTACATTTCAGCCCATATCGTCGTTCCTCTACTAGTTAGAGCTTGAACCCAATGGATAAAAGTCACCTAAAAAATTGTTTATCTAATTTAAAAAAATCTTTAAAAACCGGAAAACAGGAAAAACAGAACGCCCTCCTGTGATTGTAAAGCTGGCTGGCTGGCTGGCTGCTGTTTTGAGTCATGTGTGCGTCGAACGATGTGCCAACATGTGGATATTTAGATTAAGACATAAAGGAAACACACACATGTACAAAAGGAAATACCTGAAGGCTCGTCAACCTGTCCTATTAAGTTATATGTAGTGAAAAGTTCAAAATCTGAACATATCTGATTATTTACACGTTGGATAGAGGCTTAACCCGAAAACTAGGAACACCGGTTCTTGAATTCCTAGAAAAACGCTGAGCTGGTGGCATAGGTATGCTATGTAACGTTTGGGTGTTTTAGTAATATTGTAAAGTCATTTCTACAAATTAGGTTGCAATTTGGATTTAGCATTTTTAGTATATATTGTATGTTTAGAAAGCCTTGCGAAATAAGTCAAATAATGATGACATAAAATTAGATACATTTTACCTTGTAACCTGATATGAAAAAAGTAACCTTTAATGGGTCTCTCCTGAACTATATTTTAATTACAACTTTGTAATAACTTGACAGTTCCTCATTGTCTCATGAGATCCCGTTCACTAGTACCTAAGATATTGACCGTTCGGTTAAAGGACATTAAAAGACGTGGTACTTTCAATATATTGCTACTTAATATTTGATGTCTCAAAACTAGCGCGGTAGTTTTAGTCTAAAAAAAACGGTTTATTTTTCCCACTGACATATGCCCGCAGGTTGGTATGGGTACGGGATTTTGTTAAAACGTCATGCTTCTCAAGTGTGCTCATGGAAAAATGGCTTCCGGTGGATTTTCAGTTCCTCGAGCGAAAAAGCTTCTAAAAGTCTGGTTCTGGGAATTCACACCATCGTTTTGAGCTTGTCTCTGAAATCTCTGCTTGCAGCATACCTTAGACGACATAAATTAAGCGATCTCTAGTTGCGCGGCAAGCAACAAGCAAAAATAAGATCATCTAACCATATTATTGGCTCCCGAGCTTTTTTTTGCCAGGCTAATCGCGGTGCGTAACGTTTATATAATTATAATTTTAGGTTAAATTAAAAAAGATTATAATTTCATAGAATACCGTCGTTTGTATGATTGACTTTATAATACGATGATCGAAGCATCTTGCGTTTACGCAGCGGAATTTCGAAATGGATGACATCGTATTCACGTAGCAGATCACGTAAAGGTTCTGATCTATCTGTAAAAGATACTGCACAGTACACTATCTTTACACGCAACATATAATGGGAAAGAGCGATCGTGTGCGTCAGCCTTACCATGGCTTGCGTTTTAACTTCAGACTTGAGCACATATGCCTTTGCCAAATAGGCATATGTAAATCAACATAATTACATTACATATTTATAAAGAAGCTTGTTTCACCTTCGATTTGTATTCTAGTCCGTAGATTTTTTTCCTTTCTATTTATTAATATGACAGAAGAAATATATTATATATATATATATATATGAAACAGCTGAATAGGATATGAATAGTAAATAAAACAGCCACGACGCTTTCATTGTACGAATGACCTTTACCAGTAATAGCCAACACCCAGCGCTGTGCAGATAGCGTTCAAATGTGCAAATAGGCCATACAAAGTACTTGGGCAAGTTTGGTGCCCTCCTCCCTCTGTTACAGTGGCAGCATGAGCTTCACCTAATCGGTCTAGTGTTCACTGCTGCACTATGAAGCCTGCCTCACCCAGTTTGACCGCAGAGGGCCACAAAGGCCATTGGAGAAGGCCGCTTGGTTGCGGTATCGGGGGACCTACCGGTTTTGGGTTTTTTCATTGAATTCTCTTGTCCAGAGACGACTTAAAGAATCGCTATGCTGAGCGTCGTCGACGATTCGGTTCCATCAGATAAAACACCAAGTAAGTCCCCGACGAAATTCTATCGTGAATGTTAAATAGAGCATCGGTTGCTAATCAAGTCAATATATATACAAATGGGCCATCATTCATGATGGATAAAATTAAGTCATGGAGATACTCGGTATTCGATCATGCACAGGACGTTTATACATACATATATATATATATATATGAATGCATACCGGCCGGTACGCTTACTATATTCTCAATTATTCAATAAAATCAAACACATCGGCAGTATCTCATAGAAATTCTCGACTCCTTTCTGAAGTCAGCTAGATGCAATAGAAAAAAAAAAAAGGAAAAAACGAGGTTCTAGATGAGAAAAGATCGATACCAATCTATATATATATATATATATATATATATATAGATTGGTACCGATCTTTTCCCATCTAGTTAAGGGCATATATAGGATATTTATCTATTTTTCAACATTTATTTGAGCAAGAATCTTTTTTATCAGTCTACATTTCAACTGGAGATGCGAAAATCACTACGAAATCACTGATGATTTGCCCACGATATATATCTCTCAGTCGACTGCTGGTAGTAAATTGGAATAAAATAGAGCTTGTTTTTGATTTCATTTGCCGCACATAATTTGATCGGCAAACACAGTAATTAGATAAGTAGTTTTTTTTTTATTAGTCCGTGGGTTCAGTGAAGACGAGATGCATCTTTGATAGTTTTGCTTTTTCGGAACAGATCGTTCATGCCATAAAAATCTTTGATGATCAAATAAAGTAGATTTAAACATCGTTGGACATAAGTTAATTATGGCTGACTGGCTTAATTAAACAGGGAAAGCACTATTGGTTAATAAACGTTTGCATCGTTCCCGGTACGTCAGCACCCGTTAATTGGCTATTTCCAACGTATGTCTCCATCTGAGCATTATTATTCGAAAGAAATGCAGAAAGCTACTAGACATTGATGTCTGATCTAGTTAGTCCCAATTACTCAAACAAACTATGTGCACTTACTGATGGGTTGAAGTATAGTATTTATAGCTACTAACGTCGTAAAGGGCAGACAGAAGCATTTGTCGATTCAGTTCGAAAAACATCGTGTGTCTACGGCGTGTTTCGAACCTGGACCGACCAACGTGTCCCTACGTTACATAGGTAGATGCGCAGCCAATGTACCACTTCGGCGTCTTAAAGTAGAAGCCGACTAGTAGGGTTATGTATAAAATCAGAAGCATCGGTTTAGTCTCGCTCAAAATCGTGGGGCTTGAAGTCCTTAGGCAAACAGGGCTTGCCGCACCCCAACTTATTCAACGTGCTCCTCTCAGACAAGCCTCATAGGGAATCCTATTTGAGCGTAAATGGAAGGGCGCGGTAGCTGGTGCGAAAAGTAGAAATAAGATTATAGTCGAACAACGACTGATCTCACTAGGCCGTCAAATAGGTTACAGACGCTAATGTTAAAAAAAAAAAGGTTGCCGAGATAATGAACGAGCGAGAAATAGAGCTGATAATTTATTTTTTAGTTCTGTAAGACCTTGTAATAATTTGACCTCGATATATGGAAAATTTTTTTTGAAGGGTCAGTGTTGACAACAATCAGCCGTTCCGATTGCAGCCACACATTTCAGTAGGCAAGCGTAGGCCTCGAAAGGAGCGTCTGTGCGAGAAAAAAATGGAGAGGATCGTTGATAGAAACTTACCCAGTACTAAACAACGCTTAAATTTTTTTCCAAGATTCATCTAAGAGATTCCGCGTAGGGTGTTGCGAAAATACTGATTCTTTAAGGTGATCTTAAACGTCTCTGTATTTAATATTCCCATTTTGTATTATCAAACAAACTGAATACACGCTCGGAAGCGCTGTTACTATCCTAAACCCAGGTGCTATTCTAGAGCTGTGAAAGATGTGCCTATAACAATACTATATACAGGCTTTATTAATAGTTGTTACAGCAACTTTGTTAGTCGAAGTGTCATAATTTGAAAAAAGTACAAATGAAATGACAGGTTGACGTCTATGAGCTTTGCAAGAACCTGCAAAATAACAGAATCGCTGGCAAAAGGGAATAGATAGTAGGTTTTCAGTTCCGAGGCTTTTATGCTATATCATTAGCCAACAGGTACGACCTGTCCCTACGCATCGAGAAAGACCAGAGTCTTCATAGAGAACCCTGTGCTCGTTTGGGGGGCTTTTATGTCACCAACACAGTTGCCGAACTGTACCGAAACGGCTCCTATGGCCCACTGCAGGTGAATGGATAGGTTCAAAGGCCCCCGACC